TGTGAGAGCTCACGGTTGGATGATTTCAAAACTGTAAAAAAGATCTGCACACTAGTAAATCCTCCCATGAATACATGTTTTTAATTACCATATAAGGTCACCTTGATTTTAATTAAAAATATAAATTCATGGGAGCATTTACAAGTGAGTGGCTGTATTTCACCTATGGCAGCTAATATTTATCATCGTGCTTCTGTAAATCTTTTTGTATGGTTTTAAAACTGACCACGAACTTGAAGTGTTTTTGTTTTTCACCACAGAGAGAGAGATGGGGAACATCATGCAACAAAAGTCACAGAGACACAATGTGATTCATGGTCATTACCCCTCTCTGTACCCTCTTGGAGTGTTGAATCTGACTCCTTGGGGACAGGTCTGGATTTTCAGTTCAACCTGAAATGCATTAGACTTGTGAGTGTCACTGAGGGAAACCTATCCAGTTTCTACCTGCAGGCTTAGCAACTGTTGTGTTACAGATACACACACACACACACACACACACACACACACACACACACAAAAACATAAACCCACAACTCACCTGTGGAGCCTGTGAAGGTGTTGCTTCTGTGAAATGTAATGCTCATCCTCACTATGGCAACAGAATAAAGCCCCTATACCTCCAACCACTTCACTCGAGATACACAAAGGTGGCGGCAGCAGTTCAGAGCAATAACTAAGAAATTACAAAATGTGTGAATTATAAAGCGTCCAGCACCTACAGCTTCTCTCCCTTAATGGCTTTGTCAAGTATCTCTGTACCTACGTGTGCATAAATAACTGTTTATTCAAAGACTTCACAGCGCAGGAGGAATTCATTTTTATAATTTATTTTAGAAAAGGCAGAAACTTAGAATTTTATGTGTCTTAGAAAAACACTCACATTCCCATATGTGCTTTAAAGGAGTTATTGGTTTCTGTAACTATTCCTCCTCTTTATGGTGGCTCTGACACAGTGCTGTGATTATTTCTGTTCAGCTAGGTTTACTTAAATACAAGAGTTCCCCTAAAAACATCTGCTTATAAAATCAACACAGCATACGAGACACAGGCACTTTGACATTTTAATACTTATATTTTTTTCTGATCTTTAATTTGTGTCCTTTTTTTTCCTAGTCCTTGTTTTATACTTTAATTATTGTTATTGCACATTAGTCTGAATTCCTGCTGAATTCCTCCTGAAATGCTGTGAGGAACATGTGGTTATGTTCAGACACAAAACACCACTGGGGCATCGGTAGCTTAGTGTATAGAGCAGACGCCCCATGTACAAGGCTGTTGCAGCAGCGGCCCAGGTTCGACTCCAGCCTGTGGCCCTTTGCTGCATGTCACTCCCTCTCTCTTTCACACTTCACCATCCTATCAATTAAAGGCAAAAATGCCCTAAAAATATCTTTTTTAGGGCATGGACAAAGATAATGTTTTGACTTAAAATACCTGGCTTTGTCACCACAGGCACTTCTAGAAATGTTGCCCTTTCTTGCTAAAACACACGTGGTTTGGTATCACAATAGCACTGGGAATGCCATGATGTTTTGCAAAAGAATACTCTTTTTTTTTGCATGATCGGGCTGGAAATGCTGCAATGTCTTGTTAAAAAAACATCCAATTTTGGTGCTATAATTGTGGCTGGAAATGTGGTGCCATGTTGCTAAAAAATATCTGTTTTTGAAACATACAAATGTTACATATTCAGAGTTTGCAGAAATGTTCACTGCCAACATTTTCTTCCGACTGGCTATCGCTTTCCCTAAAGTGACTCACTTAGTCAATGCAAAAATGCCCCCTAAAGCATGAGCTAGAGCTGATATGAGCCGGAGAGGCAGACAACTGAAGCGGGTTTTTACCAAAGTACAGTCTTCTTAGAATGAAATTCCCTCTTGTCCAGAGATAGACTTGAAAAATCTACACCTATCCTTGAAATTTAACGACCATCTGCGCCGTTTGTACTAACAGGGATTGTAACACCTCATGGTCTCAGACTGATGAATCATACGCCTATCAGCTCAGCTGGAAGTTGACCTTATTTAAAAGACTGCTCAGGCATAAACCACTGAAGTAAATCTACTAGGTAAAATATCAAGCTCAGAGCTGAAGGCAACATTTCTTTATGTGAAAACCAAACAGCAGTGCAGCGGTGGCAAAGTAATGTCACATCTCAACTAAATGAAACTCTGCCGTCGGGTATTTGAAAACATCTGCATGCATTTAAAATGATTCTCGCTCCTTATCAGCAACAAGAAAGAAAGCTCCCTCCATTCCTGCTGCTCCTCAGGTTTCATCAGCCAACTCGCTGATACAATTAGCTAACGAGTTTTTTTTATTGTGTGGATTTTGTTAATTAAGGCAACTGGAAAAAGAAACTTATAATAATGACTTTGAGTACTAGTTATGCTCATGCTGAACCGTTTTACACAAAGCAGGCCTCCAGCACGTTCAGTCAATGATCTTTGCCCATTTCATGCCTCTGTGAAACTGTAATGAGACAAGCAGGGACATTATCTTGATTAAAATCAATCCCTATTGGATTACACTGTGCTACATTCCCTCGCTCAGCTTCACTGATTAGAATACAGCACAGAAAACAGGAATCAGGAGTGAGGAGACTCATCAAAGCGCTACATGTACATGCATGGACAACTTGACAGATAATCCCATGACTCCTCCTCACCATCCATTACTGTCCTTAGTTGTTTTTACATGCTCTTGTATTATTACTGTGCTGTTGGCTGCTATATTGGGTAGAAGATGTAGTGATAGGTGAAGTATGGCTTCCAGCACATTGTCTCTTCACGGAGAAGCTGATGGTACATTTTATCTGATGTTTCTTTAGATAGAGATGGTGTATCTGTGTGTGTGTGTGTGTGTGTGTGTGTGTGAGAGAGAGAGAGGGAGAGAGAGAGAGAGAGAGAGAGAGAGAGAGAGAGAGAGAGAGGTGTTGTTAATATAAACCACCTCGTAAAACTATTCATGCAAATAAACAAACTAAACCCCCCAGTCAGAACCAACAACTGCAGGAGGAACCCAGGAAATAAAGAAAGGAACACGGAAGATTAAGTTAAAATAAAAGGAAAGGGGAATATAGAAACACAAATGGAAGGAACAAAGATGAGAGACATGCTGGATGAAAGTAGGAACAAGAAAGGAATTAAATGTGGAAGAAAGGAAAGAAGGAAGGACAGAGAAAGGAAGCGAAAGGAGTAACTGTGTGGAAGGACAGGAAAGAAGGGATTGAGCAAGGAAAGATGCAAGACAGGTAGAAAGGATGAAAGGTAGGAAGCAAGCAAGGAAGAGTAGAAGGAAGGGAGGAACAAAGATGAGCAAAAGGGGAAAGGGAGGATGGAAGGAAAGAAGCAAGAAAGCAAAGAAGGAAGGGGAAGAGAAAATGAAGAAATAAACAAATGTGCAAGAAAGCAAGGAAAGGAAGTATAAGTGGATGAAAATAAGCAAAAGGAAGGAGGGGTAAAAGGGAAGGAAGGAAAGATGCAAGAAAGGTAGAGAGGATGGAAGGTAGGAAGCAAGAAAGGGGGGAGAAAAAGAAGGAGAAAAGGAAGGAGTGGAAGGAGAAAGGAAGCAAAAGGAGGAAAGGATGAACACAAATGAGAGAAAGGGGGGAGGACAGGAAAGAAGGGAGTGAGGAAGGAAAGATACAGGACAGGCTGAAAGGATGAAAGGCAGGTTTCAAGCAAGGAAGGGTGGACGGAAGGAAGGACCAAAGATGAGCAAATGGGAAAAGGGAGGATGGAAGGAAAGGGGCAAGTAGGGAAGAAAGGAAGGGAAAAAGAAAATGAAGAAATAAATGTGTAAGAAAGCAAGGAAAGGAAGTATAGGAAAGAGTGAGCGAAAGGAAGCAAGAGGAGAAAGGGATAAACAGAGATGTGAGAAAGTGGGGTTTAAGGAAAGAAGGGAGTAGGGAGGGAAAGATGCAGCAAAGGCAGAGAGGATGGAAGGTAGGAAGCAAGCAAGGAAGGCTTGAAGGAAGGGAGGAAAAAAGATGAACAAAAGGGGAAATGGGAGGAAGGAAGGAAGGAAGGAAAAACGAGAAAGAGGAAATGAAGAAATAAACAAATGTGCATAAAGGAAAGGAAAGAGTAGGCGAAAAGGAGGAAGGGATAATCAGCGAGTAAGGAAGGAATAATGCAAGAAAGGTAGAGAGGATGGAAGGTAGGAAGCGAGAAAGGGAAGAGAAAAAGAATGAGAAAAGGATGGGATGAACAAAGATGAGAGAAATGGAGGATGGAAGTATTGAAAAGAAGCCAGATGGGAAGGAAATAAAGAGAGGAACAAGAAATGAATTAAAGATGGAAGGAAGGAAAAAGGAAGAAGTGAATAAGAGTGGATCTGTAGGAAAGGAGGGAGAAAGGAAGCAAAAGGAAGAAGGGATGAACATAGATAAGGGAAAGGTGTGGAAAGACAAGAAAGATAGGAGTGAAGAAGGAAAGGTGCAAGGAAGGCAGAGACAATGGAAGGTAGGTGAAAAAGGAGAAAAGGAAGGAAACAGATGGGATGAACAAAGATGAGAGAAGTGGAGGATGGAATTACTGAAAAGAGATGGTGAAGAAATAAAGAGGAACAAGTAAACAAAAGGTGGAAGTATAGGAAATGAGTGAGAAAGGAAGCAAAATGAGGAAGGGATGAACACAGACAAGAGAAAGGGGGAAAGGACAGGAAAGAAGGGAGTGAGAAAGGAAAGGTGCCAGAAAGGTAGAAAGGATGGAAGGCAGAAAGCAAGCAAAGAAGGCTGGAAGGAAAGGAAATATTAGAAAAGGTGGGAAGGGAGAGAGGAAGGAAAGAAGCATAAATAAAGGAAGGGAGGGAATGAAAATGATGGAATATACAAATGTGAGTGAAAGGAAGGAAAGGAAGTGTGATGGGAGGAAGGAACCGAGGGAGGAATGAAGAGCGAACAAACTCATTTTCACGTCGTCGCTTCTGTTCCGTGCGCGGGGGGGGGGGGGGGGGGGGGGGGGGGGGGGGGGGGGGGGGGGTCGTTAGTGAACTGAGTCTCGCGCAGGCTGGTGTGAACCCTCATCACACGCGGCCACATTCTTCAACACGGTGACATTCACCGGCGGTCCGTCCCGCGCCGGAAACGCAGCGCTTCTCCAGGCAAACAACAGACAGGCACCCAGCGGGGCATCACACGCACCGAGTCCGCCGACGGACATCGGAGGGGGAGGCGAGAGACGCGCGCAGCACCTTACCGCACATACTGAACGAGGACCATGGAGAGCGGAAGCAACGGCTCGGACGCGAATTACGGGAGCCAGATCCCCGTGATTTACACCAACAGCAGCTTCTGTGGGAACTTCAGCGACGGCAACAACACCACGAGCTTCACGGAGGCGCCATGCCACAGGGAACGCGGACTGACCGGCATCATAGAGGACGACGCCAACCCGGTTATCATAGCGATTGTTATCACCGCTCTCTACTCCATCGTGTGCGTGGTGGGGTTGGTTGGAAACGTGCTGGTCATGTATATCATCGTAAGGTAAGCACTTGTAAAAACATAATATGCATGGATGTGTTTTCTCAGCTGTGTTGCGCACAATTAAACCTTTTAAGAAGATCTTTTTCTAAGTATAAAATGACTCTACGGCAACCTGTTGCCTCCATTAACCATTTTGCACATTAAAGTGTGTGTGAGAGTGTGCGCATGAGGCCGAGGGAGACCACGTGAATGCGGTGTTGACAGTGCTGCCAGCTCAGCTGCCGTTCGTGCGTAAAGTGCCTCCAACCGCGCAGCAGGTTCCCTCCAGCAGCGCGCAAAGAGCGAGCCGAGCGAGGGGATGGAGAGGGAAGGGTTTCCACACAGCAACAGCCGATATCCATAACAACAGAGGATGTGTTGGATGTACAGACACAGCACACGCTCGCTTTCTATCCGCCTCTTTCATCCACAGTACCATTACCAACCTGGAAAATAAAGATGCTGCACATCACTCCCATGCGAGTGCTAAACAAAAACATTATGCACCGTGAATCCAGGCAGATGCTGCCGTCTTTGCACATACAATGGCTCCAGTGTCTCTTGTTTCCTTGTTTATTTCTGTGTTTATTCTGCCTTTCATGTAAATTAGGTGAGAGGTCTTAAATCAACCACAGCATTACTGGTTTTACATGAAAGGTGAGAATACTGGTGAGCCAAAATTGATCCATAAAACTTAGAACAGCTTTAAAAACTCACACATTCCAGTGTGTCTCAGATTGCTTTCCCTCCCCAAATGTAGGCCGCTCTCATGCCACCGTCTCATTAACTGATATTTAAAACTTTGTTTCAAACACGTCATACTCTTGAGATATCATCACAGGAGGAACTTTTATTCACCTTAATAATCTGTCACAAGGAGTAAGCGATGATGATGAGTGGTGCGCAAATGAAATCTTGCAGTCACACCCGAGTTTAACTTTTCTTCTTTTCTAAGAGAAACCAGTTGACTAGAGGATCTTGCAGGGAGAAATAACTCACACACAAGCTGCATATTTCCCATTTTCACACACTGATATTGATATTACTCAGAATGTAAATACACTTTCGTGTTAAGACTCAAAATCACCTATTATGCTCACTGAGGTGGATTTCACAGGTGGTGCCTTTCATTACACATGAAAATCAGACATTTATACGCTGGTCAAATGCTCCCCAGCTGATGCTGTGTCAATCCAGAAGAGCTTTTCTCAGGTAATAAAAGTCTATAGATGAAGCAGTTGGGAGAGGAGAATGAGAACAAAAAAGGAGAGAGTTGAACTTGGAAAGAAGATGGACACGAGTGGAGGCTTGAGGGGAGAGAGACTGATGGTGAGCGATGAGAAAGCTGAGGAGGATGGAGATAAAGCTAAGAGAGGTCCACCTTCATTTTTCCACCTTGTGATTACCCACTTTGAACGTCTGATAGAATCAGTGAAGAGTGGCCGATTGGAGGATTTGGTGCACTGAACTTAGAAGAGAGGCACTTAAATGGCTTTGAAACTGAAATGTACCACTTTGTTAGATAAGTTAGAGTGGTAAAAGAAGAGAATACCTTTTATTTGGATTTTTACCTCTCTATTGCTGCTGTAATATATTAACATTACCTCGTTACACCTAGCTCTCCTTGCTTCTCCACTGTTTCCAGGGCAAATGCAGCATCAAGTGAATGCTCATTTGCCAGAGTGCACACATCAACCCCTTCAATCTGAGTGCTTCCCCAAATAGATCTGTTTTGCTAAAGAACGCACGCATCTATGCAGGATGTTGTCTGCATCTATGCAGGATGTTTTCTGCCCCAAATTACTTTTGGCAGATCTGACCCTTGGGCCACGGATGGGAAGAGCAGTAATATGCTTTACCCAATTAAAAGTAAAATTGAGAGTAAATATTGCTGCATTATATTTTTAAATGGAGGGTATATGATGATGATGATGATGATGATGTTATGCGAAAGAACTGTTGAATTAAAGAATATGTTTAGGCTACGAAATCAAGTGCATTAACATGTCAAAGCGTACAGACTCATGGGACAACATGCTCTAAGCAACAACTTTCAGAGCTGAAAAATGAAGCCAACACTCAAGTGCCAGAAACTGCAGTTCCTCTAATGGCCTCTTGAGGCAGACTCCAAAACTTAAAAAATTCCCTAGATGGCCATGATAATCAGCAGAAATAAACGTGTTTACAGACTGTTACAAAAATGGTCTTGGTCTTTATTGTGAATTTCCTCGCTCATGACAATTGTAAGAGACACTTAAGCACATATTCATATTTGGTAAAAATGCCTTTGTTAATATGACATATCATAGAGTTTCTGCTATTATTTAAGTTTGCACAACCGTTTCTGTATATGTTGAATAGTGTATGGTAGTGGACTATGCTAAGGTTATGTTTATATATACTTAATTTATGTGTTAGAATACAGGCAAAGGTTTTTTACGCCAGATATGGTGCTGTAAGGCAGTTTTGTACGCATGACTAAAGGAGACTGTGACCAACGTCGTGCATAAAGACATCTGAAGTTTGTGCTGGTTTGGATCTTAATAAGATTTTGACCATGTTCTGCAGTGTTGACACGTAATAACAGGAATACAATGAGAAGAAATAGAAATGGGACATTGAGTCGCTAGTGGATCATAAAAGATATCATTTTGGAAGGACCTGACCTGCTGTTTTGTTTCTCTTTTTTTGTATTCTAATTTAACCTTTCCCCTGCCTCATGTGAGTACTGTGGATCTCCAGAAAAGAAATATGTTACTTACCCGTGTACATTTTATTAAGGCTTAAAGTTATGCATAAGTAAGGGTGGGGCTGCTTTGAATGACAGGCTATCTGCAAGGCATCACCACAGTCTGTGACTCAGATCCACCCCTGACTCCTCCACAGCTCCACCCTCTCCTCCAATTATGGTCACTTCTGGCTCCAACAATCCAAGATGGCAGCAGCTAAAATGCCAGACTTTCAAAATGGGAGTCCACAAACCAATAGGTGACGTCATCGTAACTATGTTCATTATTTTTATACAGTCTATAGATTGAACAATACATTCCTTTTTTTGTAGACAGGCATGTGCAGCCTATGCATACAAATGAATCAATTAAAAAAATAAATATTCAACCACCTTCTTCAGAGCTGCCTCTCTAGAATGAACCAGAAAGCAGGACAAAATTGAATAAAATCTTAATTAAACCATAATGAAGCATAGGAAATAAAAAGAGCAGGCGCAAGAAGCATTATTAAGATGCCTAAATTAAATAACCTGCCACTTTAACAGCAGAATTAAGCATCACCAAGGCAGCCAACACAGAGATGTACAGACAATACAAACTCCACAGCTCACAAACACTCACACTAAAGCAAAAAGAGAGTTTGCTTTGCGTAGCACACATGCACACATCACTAGGCAACACATGCACTTATCTGTACAATGAGTCACAACCTTTATTGTTGTATTCACCTGTCTGAACGTCATCTGTGCTCCTCAAAAGCATCACCAGTTCACTCAGCCTCTCTGCCCCACTATAACCAACCACTCAGTCTCCATGCCATTATAACCAGTCCACGTAGCCTCTCTTTCCTGTTGCACTCATCAAAGTTTTAAGATGAATGAGGAGGATCTCCCATGAGCATCTTAGCATTTAGCATGTTAGCCAGACCCAGCATGTGGCAGTTGGTCACACAGCATCGTGGGGTTTTTGAGACACGTAGTGCACTCAGCGGGAGATGCATTAAATTATGATTAAAGGAGATGCAGAGGTGATGCTAATCCTGACCCATAATGATGTCATCCTTAACCAAGAGCCGAGTGTCAACCCTCTGGATATGAAGCTCTCGACAGCTCTGCCTTCTTGCAGACAAACCAGCAGCTAATTATTTTCTGCTGCAGCTTCTGTTCCACCGTTACCTGCTTTATTATAATGTCCGTGTGATTCCTGTTCTTACTCTAACAGATTAAGACTTGAAATGTAGCAAGCAATTTACTTGAGGAAAAAAAACACTGTTATAGTAAGAGTAAATGTAATTGGTTACTTCCACCCCTGCCACTGGCACTTAGCAACAACATTAAGTGGAAAATGAAGGAAGAGCACAGGGCAAAGGAAAGTGAAATCACCTTTTGAAGTATGAGTTGTGCACCAGCATCATTTTGAGGGCATGATGTAGGCCTATCTGCAGCTGTCTGGCAAGGATACAAGAGTGTTTATGATGTATGAGTGGGTATACAAGCTCGCATTATGTATTCCAAAGTAGTTTGTCCACAAAGCAGATGATAGATGTGAAGGGCATTACTTGAGCTTTAGCTCTCTCATCCTTGACTGTTTCCTGTCCCCTGCCTTCTCATGACAGTAAGAAAATGGCACTGACTCGACCAGCAGTGTGTGTATGTGTGCAGGCATGCGTGGCTGTGGAAAAGTTTTGTGGATTTTCACTAAATGAAACTTTAAGAGAATTAGGAAGAAGGTGAAGGATGTGTCTCATTCCTCTGAGAACCGCAGTCCATCAGGGTCATTAACATTCATCAACCTCTTTGTCTTCTCGCTTTTCTCTGTGTGTCTTTCGGTCTTTTCTCTCTCTGTCGGCAGATTGAGAGTAAATAGCCATTTAGCTAATGATGCACTGTGGATATTTACTGTTAAATGGAAATGTAGCCTTGAGCTCTCTGTCCCCACTTTACAGTTGTGGCCTTGAATGCATTTTTGCTAGATTAAATAGAGACAGCGGTGGATGAGAGATGTTTTCCCCCTTACTGTCTGTGTGCTGATAACCTTAAAGCCATAAAACAATTCCCCCTCACTCTTTATCTCCCTGTCCTCTCGATGTCTCCCTGTCCCTCGTCTGTTCGCTCCGCACTCACATCCGCAAACTTCTTGTGAGCAAACAACCACAACCAGAGATCTGCACGCTCAGTCGGAAAAATCAATTGCAGTTGAACAGCAGACCACTGGGTTCCACAAGGAATATGCAAAGTGCTTCCTGTTACCATGGAAACACTGGGAGGCGTTTTGAGCCTGGTGTGTGCAAAA